GTGTCCCCCAAGAGGCCCATCGCGCGGCAAAGGACGAGTCGCAGCGCGTGCTGTGCGATATGAGACGTAGTATGGTACACTCTATTTAACCTGACGCCTAACCGCTACAGTATGCGCTGCGACTCGTCCTTCGCCGCGCGATGGGCCTCTTGGGGGACACCCTTCATCTTAAGTTCCGTGGAAGTTGAAAGCCCTCCCTGGTTAGAGAAGTATAATTGCCACTGGCTTCTTATCTCTGCTGACGTTACAGTTACATACCGTAGGTTTCAAGAGGGTTTCCGTGACAACTGTCAAGAAACGAGAGGCTGTAAAGTGCTCTTGTCATAGCTCTTTATCTCTCAACCATATCACCTGGCGTTCGCCAAGTGTCTTAGGCGACTGTCAACAATTCCGACTCGTTTCACCCTCTTTTCAAGAGTTTCGTAAACTATTTGACGATGGCGCCAAAAGTCACATTGAGTTTAGCTTGACGTTCTCTGGAATTCAGTTGCTGACGACGCTGACACAGCAGTTGTTTTCTGAGCTCGTGAATTTTCCCCGTCTATAAACAACGCTCACCTGTTGTCATAAAAATGTCACATTCTTCACTATAGCACCCTGAAAAAAATCAAGAAATAAGTTATCCTACTGTTTTTGCAATATTTTGATGTAGCTTTTGTTTCCTTTACCCTTCTAGGCGTCTTCATCGTCTTTTTGTCTTCTGTCATCCAAGCCGGTTTTCTCACCTTTTGCGCTTTTGACTTTGTTGAGGCCGGAGCCCCTTCTTCCTCTGTAGTTGCCCCTTTTTCCCTTCATTCGTATCCCTCCCCGCCACCCTCAACACCCGTAACCTTCGCTGTTTGTGCTTCCTCGTTTATACTTCCGGATTTTCGTGTATTGCCTCAATTAAGTAGAATTTTGGACGAGTGTCCTTGAGAAATTGGCCCCTAATAGAGCCATTATCCTTACATGTCTGTCATTCAAAGGCTGCACTTAAGTGGTACACTAGGTTGAAAGTGGTAGTAAACAACAGCAGTTATGCAGGAAATGAGCTTCAGAACGACCTGTCCTTTTCTGTTGAGTCGTCATTACATTATTTATTACATCTCCAGTAAAGAACTTGTGCAATAAGGAAATTCCTGGGCACATATTTTGTGGTACTTGTGCTAGTTGATTGGCCTTGCAAATTATCCAGAAATTGCCTGATTCCCCATCGGCGCGCCTTTTTTACCCTTCACATTTATTTGAACGGGGAAGTATATTAGTTTAGATATCCTAGTGGAGATTATTCATATCGCAAAGATGCCTTTTTTTTGGAAAAATGCCAAGTAATTTTGGAAAAATGTCAAGTAAGTAGGAAATGAATGAGTGGTGATGCTGCGCTACATGTTATTCTTTCAGATCTTCCCGCAGCTGAACGAGCTGACTGCCTGCATAGCGCGTTAAACAGCGTCCGCTCAGTCGTACAAGCTGCTGTGTAAGTTTTACCTCGTCCCCTCAGCCAACACTGAAAGATTTAAAATGTCATAATTTTGGTCCTTGAAAGCAAGTGGTGTAAATCAATTGGATGTTTGGGAGGGTAAATGCTTCTTCGAGTATTAGGAGATTGTGCCCTTATGAAAGACCGAGCACGTGGTGCTCCCACCGCAAAAAGTGCACACTTAGGCTGCCACTAACAAGGTTTAACGCGTGTAACTGCCGCCCTTTCAGGGAGCCCTACTCCAGGCTGCTAAATGGTAAACAGAAAACGGTTTGGATAGTTATAATATCATCATAAAATGTCCCTCATCCCCATCAGGAATGCATCTTCGCCAGGACACCCTATTTAAAGCTCATTCAGCAAGTCCGAAGTCGCAATGAGCCCGCCTTCGGAATGTACTCGTTCCGAAACCTACTTAACTGGAAGGGCATCCGTTCGCGGTTTTTCAGGTACTTTGCCTGTTTTCTCCATTGCACCATTTTCTAAAAAACCTTTTTATGTAACAATGAGAAAACGCAGTCCCATTTATCGTACCACCTGCTTTGAATGAATAATGTGTAAGCCATGAATGAAGTATAGCAGTGTTAGATGCACTAGCAGTGATGACCTTTTTGCTAGAAGGCTTCAATATCAACGGCTACTTATTGCTTGTTTAGCGTGAGGCCAGCTGAACTGATTCCCCCTTCAGTGGCCAGGGTTCAAATGACTGATCTCGCCATTCCTCCGTTTTTCGCTGAGAATCCCGTCGACGAGAGCACATTGCAGCAGGAGGATAGCCAGATCGTGGATGAGCGTAAGTCTTTCTTTTTCAAGGGAACTCGAGCAATATACAACCCACGAATAGAATAATTCCTCATATAGTACAAACAATTGTACCCCTGGTTGAATGAACTGAAAGGACCTCAGGTCAGGGGTGGGAAAAAACCGTGGCGCAAGCACTGTCGGGAAAGAATCACGCGAAAGAAGGAATCGGAGAATGAAATGGATCCACTTTTACCGATCACATGTGGATGTGTTTAATGCAAACAGTCTGACAGAAAGCTTCACGATCGATTGCGGTTTCGTTCGCGCATTTCTTCACTTTTGTTGCAGTAGTTTTCTACCCGCTAAAGCGATCAGTTGGTGGTTAATTAGGTTCGTTGAAAGATAGAATTGCAGCATTTATTAGAAAGCAAAGTCAAAGGCTTTGTATCGAAATGAACTTTTTGAATTCAGAAGTGCCTACTGACATGGAGAGCCCATCGTATACGTCTGAGCCTAATTCGGTGGAAGCCAGCATTCTTCTTGAAGGATATGTGGGCATAGAAGCAAAGGCAAGCTTTCCTACTTTTCTTTCTTTCCAGTTCTTCCTACTTCCTTCTGTTTGTGATTTACATGAGCTGTCCGG